ACCAGGGTTTGATCATCCTCTACACCGATTTGGGATAACTTATGAGCGTCGGTCACATACTATTGTTCCTCCCAGTACTTCTACAATTGAGCCATGTGATTATGCCCCTGCTCCGGTCTCCTTACCTACTTCGGCCCCACCTACCTCAGTTGACTTGCCCATTGCTCTTCGTAAAAGTAGTCGTTCTACTTGTAATCCTCATCCTATTTATAACTTTCTTTCATATCATCGTTTGTCTCCTACCTATTATGCTTTTGTCTATGTTATTTTCTCTATTACCATTCCCAAGACAGTACAGGAGGCCTTAACCCATCCAGGATGGCGACAAGCAATGATTGATGAGATGACAGCTTTAGACTCCAACCACACTTGGGTACTTGTCCCACCTCCGCCTGGAAAATCTGTTGTTGGTTGTCGATGGGTATTTAATGTTAAAGTGGGCCCTGATGGACAGGTGGATAGATTGAAAGCTCGTCTTATGGCTAAGGGATTACAGCGACATCTTCTCTCCAGTTGCGAAAATGGCCTCAATTCGTCTCTTCTTAGCTATGGCTGCTATGAGGCATTGGCCTTTGTTTCAATTAGACATCAAAAATGTCTTCTTACATGGTGATTTGGAGGAGGAGATTTATATGGATCAACCACCTGGGTTTGTTGCTCAGGGGGGGTCTAGTCTTGTATGTAAATTACAAAAATCCTTGTATGGCCTCAAACAATCACCTCATGCTTGGTTTGGTCAGTTTAGCAAAGTTATACAGGAATTTGGAATGATCCGCTGCGAGACAGACCACTCTATCTTCTTTAGACGCTCATCGACACATAGATTTATCTATCTTGTTGTTTATGTAGATGATATTGTGATTACAGGTGATGATCAGGAGGTCATCAAGGCTCTGAAGCAACACTTATTTAAACACTTTCAAACTAAGGATTTAGGTCCCCTACGTTATTTCCTTGGGATTGAGGTCGCTCAGTCAAAGTCCAATATTGCTATTTCTCAGAGAAAATATGCCCTTGATATTCTAGAAGAGACCAGACTTACAGATTGTAAGCCAGTTGACACTCCCATGGATCCTAATGTAAAGCTTATGCCTAATCAGGGGGAGCCTTAACCTAACCCAGGGAGATATCAGAGATTAGTGGGAAAATTGAATTATCTCACCATGACCAGACCTGATATATTGTTTCCTGTCAATGTTGTAAGTTAGTTTCTTAACTTTCCCTGTGAGAGTCATTGGCTTGCAGTTGTTCGAATCCTTAGATACATCAAAAGATCACCAGGAAAAGGACTTGTTTACAATGATAGAGGACATACAGACATTGTTGGATATTCAGATGCAGATTGGGCAGGTGATGCAAGTGATAGGCGGTCAACATCAGGCTATTGTGTCTTCATGGGTGGTAATCTTGTCTCATGGAAGAGTAAAAAGCAAAGTGTTGTTGCACGATCAAGTACAGAAGCAGAATATCGTGCTATGGCTCACACCACATGTGAGCTCTTGTGGCTAAAATTCTTAATTCAAGAGTTGCAGTTTTGCAAGGTTGGTCATATGGAACTAGTTTGTGATAACCAGTCAGCTTTATACCTCTCCTCTAATCCAGTTTTTCATGAGAGAACAAAGCATATAGAGGTTGACTGCCATTTCATCAGAGAAAAGATCATCTCCGGTATCATCAAGACCTCCTCAGTTTGCTCCAAGGATCAACTTGCAGATATCTTTACTAAATGTTTACGAGGTCCTAGGATAACATATATATGTAACAAGCTAGATGCATATGATATATATGCTCCAGCTTGAGGGGGAGTGTTAAGATAATTCTATAAGATATAGTTTAGATATACTAGTTTATCTTCTCCTATTTTCTAGTTTAGTTTCCTTAGTCAGTTTTATCTAAATCCCTAAACTTTAGGGATTGATTATGTTTTATGCCTATTTATTTTATTGTACCTATTCAGATTCAATAATAAGAAATTATTCATATTCAAGTGGTACCATAGAATTTCTCATCTTTTTAAATAAAAAATCAAGATAAAAAAATGAATCATATCTCTTAAAAGTTAAAACAAATAGGAATTCCTATGAAAATGAGCCTCACAAAATAAGAGTATTAGATAAGTGTTTAATTAAGAGCAGGTGTCGGCTCACTATATTGGCTTGGGTCCAAGTTGTGTCAAAAAGGTGTCTAAGTTATATCAAAGAAGTGCCCTAGATGTGTCAAAGAGGTGTTTGAGACAAAATAAAAAAAATTTTATTTTGACAAGGTGGAGAGGTGTCGAAAGCATGTCCAAGGCGTATCTGACAAGTGTCGTGTCTGAAACATGTTAAACACACTGATACGGCATTCTACAAAGGTGTCCATGTTTCATAGATCAAACATGTCTTGTTTAATCCAAATAGAAGTCATGCAAACACCTTTTCCAAAGTCTTCCACAACACTTCTCTTAACACTCAATTATATATTTTTTCCAAGTCAATAATTAAAAACCATATATATGTCCCTTTCTATGCTTTGATACCTCGCCCAAGCTTTGTCAAGGATAAATTACTTGTGTTGTAGGCCTTCATGACCATAAAACCAAATTGGTTCTTTGTGCAATCCTAGTCTCTTCTCTTCATTTATGCAATCACCTTTTTCCTATAATTTTATAATGTGACTGATAAATTTTATTCCTTTGTAATTTTACACAATTTTGAATATTTCTCTTTTTCTTAAATATAAGAACCAAATTGTTCCTCCTTCACTCATTTGGCATTTTCTTAAATCTCAAAATCTCATTAAATAGAGTAATGAACCAAATGATACCTTTTTCTCCAACAAACTTTCAAATTTCAATAAGATTACCATCATGACCAACAGTTTTACCATTACTCATCCTTTTTTGAGGGCTATTTTTACCTCTTCAATCCTAATTCTATAGTAGTATGTCAATTCTGTTTGTTTTCTTGGATTTCTAGTCCTTTCATAAAAGTTGATCCTTGTCTATCACTGAAAAACTTAGAAAAATAACTTTCCCATCTCTTTGTCTTTGATATCCTAATTTGTAATCAAAATTATCCCTTTTTCATCTTTAATACATCTTACTCAATCCAAATCTTTTGTTTTCCTTTATTTATTTTGGGAAGCTTATATATCTTATTTTCTCCATTATTTACCCCATGATCTTGATATAACTCTTCAAAAGCTCAGGATCATGCCTCACTCATAGTTTTCCTTGCCTTATTTTCTAGTATTTCAGTACTTCGCTCAATTATCAACATTATTGCATCCATGTAAAGCCTTATGGTGTGTTTGGATGAGGAATTTTAAATTCTTAGTATTTGAATTACTTTGATTTCAATTTCTATCATTCTTCAAATATTTTGTTTGGATAAGTCAATTCAAATTTCTCAAATTTTAAATTATTGGGTTGGATACGATAATTTAATTCCACCATGATAAAATTGATTTTAAAAATATATTTATATGTTGAGATTTTTAAATTAAATTTTATAAAAATAAATATTAGCTAATTTTTAAATATTTAATAATTTTAAAAATTATTATATAATATTTAATAATTTTAAAAATATTTTTAAATATTCAATAATTAAAAACATGAAGAGATAAGAGATAAGATAAAATATATAAGTGAAATTAGAAAAAAAAATATGAAGAATTTCAAATTCTTACTTTTTTTGGAGAATTTGAAATTCTACTATTTCAAGGAATTTCACAAATGCTTGAATTTCAAATTCCTTATAAATTCTCCATCCAAATAAGGTATTTCATCTCAAATGATTTGAAATTCTTCAAATAAATGAATTACTTCATTTAAATTCCCCATCCAAACACACTATTAAAGCAATCTCTTTTGTTTCTTACATTGTCTCGAACACTTTCATTCCACCACCAAGATTAATTACCTCTCAGCCTAAAACCTTTTGATTCACAAGACTACTTAACAACTTTCCTAATCCTCTTAGACACCCTATCTCAAATGAGGTAACCACTACCTTGTAATACCTAATTACCTTCAATACTTTTTTCTTAAAAGTCAAATGTTTAGCTCCCTTGAGATGCCACCACTTGATTCTTGGATTTGTATCTTTTTGGGTTTTCTGGTTTATGGCTCTTAAAATGAACATCCAGGATCAAAATAATTGAAAACAGAAGCACCTTAAGTGCAATGGTAACAACATTTTAATGAAGACTAAAAGCCTAAAACAACAAGGAGAATGAAAACATCAAAATTTCACTAGTTAAAATTAAATGAAAGGGGAGAAAAAAAGGACAAGACAGAAAAAATGAATAGAATAAATAATAACTAAACCAAAATTAGTAACAATAATTAAAATCATAAAGAGAGCCAGATTGTAATTCATGCCATTGCTGACAAAGAAAGTGATCCAAAAAGGGTTGTTCTCAAAAATTAACATACGACCACGGCCTTCAACTGATATCCAACTGAGTAAACCTCTCACTTTGGTTGTTTAGATTGTAGGTGCTATTCACTTTTTGTCCCTCACTTTACAAAACTTTCCCTCTAGTCCATGACTCTATAAAATGATGTAAAATTTCATTCATCTTAATCCTCAATGCCAGTGAAAAAATCTAGTAAAAAAGAACAAAAGTTAATAGAATTTTGAAACATTTTACAAATTCAGGGACGAATTGAGAGTTTTGCCAAGTCAGGGTTATTGCTTTCAATCCTAGGGACCTTAGGGTTTGTTTGAATAAACAACTTAATTGTTTATGAAATAATTGCTTACCATACAAACAATTATGTATAAGTTGTTTCCACAAATAGGATAAAACTATTTTCATACAAGCTGTAAGCTGTTTTCATAAACCATTCAGGAAAACTACTCAAATAAGCTTAATAAAAGCTCGTAAATTCTTTCCATAACCTCTTCTAAACACTTACACAAGTAAGTACGTCATAAGATAAGTTTAAATAAGCTCTTCCAAATACGCCCTAAACTCGCAACTAAAAATAAGGAACATGCAAACGAAAATACCTTCTCATCCATATCAAAGCCAGACGCAAGTACTTTGACGCCTTCCATGACAAGGCAACAAGTGAAGCCTCGTGTAGGCAGAGGCCTTCCGGCTTTTGCACACGAAAGAACACATCTAGGACCTGTTAAACAATAACAAACAAATAAACACAAACAACACCAATTTCAATTATACAAACCAACACAAAGTCACACTTATAGTTATAGCGTGCGTGCGCGTACGCCATCACTGAAACCTAGAACTGTTTCAATTGAAACACATATTCGTTGTTGCGAAGCGGAAACAGAAAATTACCGAGCAATTTGCATCCCTTGGATTTAAGATCGTTGAACTTCTCCTGCGAAACGGAGGAAGGAATGAGAAAGAGAAAACGAGGAAAAGGAGAGAGGAAGCGAGGGATTAATTACGTGTTTGCTGGAGGAAATGATGTGGAAATCGTTGGCGCCGTTGCGGGAAGGGTCGCAGCAGAGGTGGAGTTGGGCGCCGTTATCTTTGAGGGCGTCGTGCAGCGCGTCGAAGACTTCGGGCGGAACAAGGTTTCGCGACATGAAGACGTTGGCGCCTTGGAACGCCTTCGTCTTCAGCATCTTCTTCGAAGGAATGAGATTGAAATTGAGAGAGAGAGAGAGAGAGAGAGATTTGAATTTGAGAATTGGTGGAAGGAGTTTGAGTGGAGAAGAAGCGAAGAGCGTGGTGTGACAAAAACGCGGGAAAGTGAATTGGGATTGTGGATTGGTGATGTGGTTGATGGAGTAAAGTGTGTGATGTGCTCTCGCTTCTTTGGCTCTCAGAAGCCACTTTCAGGTTAAAAGTTAATATGTTTCCGGATATATATGGACTTTTCTTTTTTAATATACTGTTTTTTTTTTATTTATTTAAATAACCTAAACTGATTTATATTTACCTAAATATACCATTTAGTTTTTTAGGTGAGGTAACCGATTTCTCAAATGGATTTTTTCAAATTTTTGAAAAATTCTTTTGAGAAATCGGTTACCTAGGCCCAATTTTTTTTTTGTGTTTTTGTTTTTTTTTTATTTTTTAATTTTTTTTCCAGATTTGTAATTTTATTATTTTTTTGTATTTTAATTTAAAATTTTGTTTTTTTAAAAAAAATTTAGTAATTGTAAATAAAATAATTTAGTTAAGTTTTTAGAATAAGAATAAATAATGAAATAATTATTAACTAAATAAATAATGAAATAAATATTAATTAAATTTTATTATAAAAAAAAGACAAAATATTTATTTAAAATAATAGTAAACAAAATACAATATTTGAAAGGTTTGATGACATTTTAAGATTGGTGACTTGAACTCCCTTGACGATAAGAACATTTCTTCTTTGAGTGACCTACATTTTTGTAGAGAGAACATCTTCTTGGTTGTCCTGGTTCAACCATATCCATTTCAGTGCGTATTCTGGATGACTTTGGACGACCTTTTTTGTTTCTAATCTTTTCCGGATTTAGTATGATTTGCGGTTCTTCACAATCCGGCCAATAAGATTCATTAGGCAGTTCACCAAATAATTCGTTATACACGTTTGAAACATATTGTAATGTGTATATCGGATCTATGTAAGATTTATAATCGTGGTGAACATGCTTACATGCAGCAACAACATGCGAGCATGGCATGTGTAGTTTTTGGAATTTTCCACAGTCACACCAATTGTCATGTAGTCTAACTGTGAAAGTTCTAGTAGGTCGTGTTTCCCTTAGGTTAATGGTCTCTTGTACCAGAAAACGTGTACTGTGACGATCAAATTCGAGGACATGATGACTATTAGCCTTTGATTCTGCATCTCTCATGGCCCTATTCATTATTTCCGTATAAACTTGGTCAGCCCTAAGTTTAGCATCGACTTCCTTCCCCCTTTGGATGAATAAGGCATTACATATCTTATAAGTCGACATGATGATTGCAGAAATTGGCAAATTTCTTGTTTTTTTAAGAATGGAGTTAATTGCCTCAGCCAAGTTGGTAGTCATGTGTCCCCATCGTCGACCACCGTCCCATGCAAGAGTCCATTGTTCTTTTGGTATGTTGTTGAGCCATTCAATTACACCTTCGATTTCTGGTTCGCTCCTTAGCGTGTTGTAGTAGTAATTGAATCTTGGCTCAGTCATCCCATAAGCTGTGAAATCAGATTAGGAAAAAATGAACAATTTAGTAATGTTGAAATATGGTGAAACAAATTAAAGTAATTAATGATGTTAAGTACATACACATATTGATGATTAATTTTTTCCGTTCTGTATTCTTGAAATGCCTCATGAAGTTTTGAACTATATGGCGAATACAGACCACATGCACTGAATTCTCGGGTGTCCAACCACTGCCTTGTCTAGCGTAGGCATTTTTAATAGACTCGTGCCTGTCCGAAATTAAGCAAAGGCCATCTTGAGGGCAAACATGTCTTTTGAGATAATGTAGAAAGAAAAATCATGTTTCTGTTGTTTCACCCTCAACAATTGCAAAGGCAATTGGAAAGATTTTGTTGTTACCGTCTTGAGCCACGGCCACAAGGAGAGTTTCTTTGTATTTGCCATACAAGAATGTGCCATCAACTTGAAAAATGGGTTTGTAGTATTTGAACCCATCGATACAAGGTTTAAATGTCCAAAATACTCTATGGAATTGAACATAATGATGAACCATCCCACCTTGTTGGTTGTATAGTGGCCTTGTTTGCTTCTCAACAAAGCATTAATTTTTCTAACGCTCTGGGACAAAGCATTGATGAATCTGCACAAAGCATTGATTTTTCTGACGCTCTAGTACAAAGCATTGATGACTCTGCACAAAGTATTGATTTTTCTGACGCTTTAGGACAAAGCATTGATGACACTGCATCAATGACACACTGCATCAATGACACTCTGCACAAAACATTAATTTTTTTGACGCTCTGGGACAAACCATTGATGACTCTGCATCAACCATTGATGTTTTCCACTATATATACACTACATACGATCCAACCCTAAACACACAATAAAAGATCAATTCTCTTCAGCTATTGCACTATTGAATTTCGTTGCTATTGTTTTTCAAGAATGTCTTCTTCATCTTCAACTATGTTGTGGAAACAACACCTCCATAGGTCAAATGAAACTCATCTTATGGTAAGTTATTATACATTGCATAATGTTTACAACTAATATTATTCATTACTAACATTTCAATTCTACCATTTTCGTAGACAACAAGTGATCAAGTCATTCAATCTTACTATCATTCCATGCCTACACCTGACCCAAGAATTGAGAATTTGTTGGAGGTTGTTGGCTTTGGCGAGGTTGCGAAAATAAGACATTTTAAAATCGATGATTGTTTGATAACGTCTTTGATGGAGAGGTGGAGACCTAAGACACATACTTTTCACTTCCCAGTTGGTGAGTGCACGATCACTTTGGAAGATGTGGCACTACAATTGGGTTTAAGGATTGACGGCAAACCAGTAACAGGACCAACTTTCTTTGACTGGGATGAATAATGTTACGAGTTGTTAGGCTTCGTACCTCCGAAAGGGGAAGCTCTAGTTGGCTCAACCATAAAACTAAAATGGTTAAGAGACCATACAATTGCACTACTAGATGAACCCACTCAACAACAATTGCTCTAACATTGTAGAGCATATATCTTAGGGTTGATCGGTGGTTTTATTATGCCAGACAAGTCAGGTAATATAATTCACTTAATGTATTTACCATTATTGGCTGACTTGGAACGTGCAGGACGATATAGTTGGGGTTCTGCTTGTTTGGCATATTTGTACAGAGAAATGTCTAGGGCAATCTATCCATCCTCAAAGAAAATGGGTGGATGTTCTTTGCCTCTACAGTCTTGGGCTTGGTATCGCATGCCCTCCATCCAACCAAGAGTCCAACGGGATATTACATTTCCTCTAGCATCGAGGTATGGATTAATTTCTATACCACTTTAATACATCGAACAAGTAAAATATTTAACCTAAAATTTTATAAATGTACAAATGTTTTAGGTGGTCAGGAAGAGGGCTAAGATTTTTAGGCACGCCCCATGGAGACTTACTTGGCTACAGATTAAGATATGACAACATAAACCATAACGAGGTAATACAATGTAAACTTCTCTCAAACATACTCTCTTATACTCAATTCATTCATACCTTAAACCTTTTTCTTTTTCAGTTTCTATGGATGCCATATAGGGAATTTCAGTCCTCACTGCCAACACGTGCTTTTAAGGATTATAGAATATGGACTGCTTGTACTGCTTTAACTTCATTTGCAGTTGTAGTCTAGCATCAAACTGATAGAGTCCAATTGCAATTTGGCTTATGGAAACCAATCCCCAATGAAGCTCATAATCTTGATAAAATGCACAAAATAGACATGAGAGGACATAGCGACACCAACTGGGCTGAACATGCAGACTGGATTTCCATTTGAAAAGACAGACGCAAACATGTTATTTTTGGGGAACCACTTCAAGGGCCTCTCCAACACACTCCGGAGTATTTACAATAGTTTCGTGCTAATTCAAAATTATTTCTTTGTAGCCAGTATTCTTCATCTCATGCATCCACTTCTAGTATGCAACTCCCAACAACAACCGTAACAACATTCCCAATGGCTAGAGATAATCACCAACCTTATAGTGTGGAACAACATCCCTAGTCTTATCCATCATTTCATACGCACCATGAACAATTCATGTACACACCACCATCAACAACAACCCCAACAGGGGACTTCATGAGCAATCTTTTGGGCGTCGACGTACACACGCCACAAAGTGCATATAATTACATGCAAAGCATGAATTTCCCTTCATTTTCGTCTGATCACTCTGAGGTCGGTGGAAGTGGTTCGTCAAATCCAGTCACCGATACTGTTATTATAGAACATGACAAGGACCAGGTTGAACCACAACAACCGCGCCGTGGTCGTCGAAACCCAACAAGGAACCGACAACCTCTGAGGTGTGGAACGGGTGACCATAGACATCATTAAATTTGGATTGTAATTTACTGGATTGTAATTCTGTTGTTGTTCTTTTTTATTCGATCTCCTATTTTATTGTTGTATTTTGTTTTTATTTCAAGTTGTTCAACTCAATTAATGTTGTTTTTATTTAAAGTTGTCATTTATCATAATATTTTCATTTCTAGATATTCTATTTAAAATTATTTTTATTCAATTTTATTCATAAAAATTTAATTTAAATACATTTTTATAATCTAAAATAAAAAGAATAACTAAATTAATTTTTTAAAATTTCTTTATAATTTTTTTAAAATATAAATATTTTAAACTGAAAAACTAAAAAAAAATAACAAATCTGGAAAAAATTATTCAAAAAAAAAATGGGCCTTTGAGAAATCGGTTACCCAGTAACCATAACTAAATTAATTTTTTAAAATTTCTTTATAATTTTTTTAAAATATAAATATTTTAAACTGAAAAACTAAAAAAAAATAACAAATCTGGAAAAAATTATTCAAAAAAAAAATGGGCCTTTGAGAAATCGGTTACCCAGTAACCGATTTCTCACCTAAAAAACTAAATAGTATATTTAGGTAAATATAAATCAGTTTAGGTTATTTAAACAAATAAAAAAACAGTATATTAAAAAAAAAGGTCGATATATATGCATTTAGTTAGTATCTTTATATCATGTTTATAAGTATGTAAAATAAATAAATATTTATTTATTTATATATAAAGAGAGTAAATTTATTTTTAGTTTTTTAATTTTTAAATTAATTTTTTAATCATGTAATTTAAATTGAATAAAAAA